GAGAGAGAGAGAGAGAGAGAGAGAGAGAGACAGAGGGAACAGCTAAAGTGTCCAAGAACGACAACCACATGTCCCACATTACCCTAAACGAATTTGCTGTGTTATGCCCCTTGCACAATTCAGAAGCGAGTTAGGAACAACAGGCCCGTGGGGGTAGACAAAAATATTAAAGGAAGTAAATCGAGAACTTTTTTCTTTCCTTCAGATCCTGACTTCCTTGGTATGCTTCAGAGAAGTAACAAGGTCACTGTGAGCGGAATCAACGAGGGTGTAAGGGATTTCACAAGTGTGATCGAATATCATTTACTGTCGTTAAGGTAAAGATTTTTTTAATGTATTATTATCCAGGGGATTTTTTTCCTATAGGAATATTGGGTCATAGTTATTTACAACTCAGCTGACGACCTCCCTATTTCACTCCCAGGATGCCTAATGCACACGCACACATGTGCCCATGAATGTGTGTCTTCACATAAATATGCATTCCCGTGTACTCGCACTTCGACGAGCACGGGTGAGGCAAAAGAGCCCAAACTCCCAGCCATGCTAAATAATATTTTTAAAAAAAAAATAATTTAAAAAACCCAACCCGTTACCCCCTGATAAAAAAATCTTCGGGTGTTACGTTTCACGCTGGCCCGCTGGCAAGCAGAGAGCTGGGAGTACAGAGGTGATCCCTCCCCGACGGGCAGAATAACGAAGTTAATTTTTACCGCCAGAAACTGGAGAAGAATGAGGCATGTGGCGGACGGAGAGAAAAGTGGGGGCAACTCTTCCCTGTCCCCGACTCCCCCCCCCCTCCCCCCTTCTGCTGACAGTGACGGAAAGAAAAAGGTGAGAGGGGAGAAATTAAGTGGTGGTAAGTCAAGTAAGTGAGGAAGAGAGAGTAGTAAAGAAGACTGGAGAACGTGAGCTACAGACACGGGGGTATGTTAAGGTGAGCAGAAGCGGCCGTAGTAAATGTATGTAGAGGCGTGCAACCACATCCCCTTCCCCCGACCCGAAAGAGAAATAGGAAAACAATAAATCCACCCTCCTCTTT